TCATTGGTTGAAAGAGAGTGATTTGTCTGAGTACAAAACACAGAGCGAGACCTGTCACGCCATCAGCCACTTTGTACAAGGTCGGATCATTTCCCAGACTTCTCTCTGGCTTTTTTCTTTAACTGACCATTTGGTCTTGCATGACCTCCAAAAGGATTATGAAAACGAGCTCATGACAAGCACCGTAATTAACGAAAGTAATTATAAAGTGATAGAGACGAATATTAACAAAGAGAAAACGAAATGCTCTGGCTAAGTTCTATTTAGTCAACCAATAGATTATTTGAACCATTCTAGCAAGGATTCTGATTGGCATATTTTAGCTTGAGTTAAGAATTCAAAGTAGAAAATATGCTAACGACACATTTGTTCGTTTTGAAAATAAAATTTGTTTTAAAAATAGGAAGAGATATGTAGGGAATTTGACTGATTCTTTATCATACAGCAATAAAGTAGCCTTGACTGGCTCTTTTCTGTTGTAAAGCACGGAGGAAGCGGTTAGAGCCCTCATGAAGTAGGGAAAACTCTCGGCTACGTCACGTATTTTCCCCTATCCTTCTTTCGGGCTCTAGCCGCTTCCTGCGTGCTTTACAACAGTACAGAGCATAATCAAGGCTTCTTCATTTGTTAAATTTTGAGTAGTAAAGGGGCCAATTTTGTTTCGTGTGTCTTTTTTTTTTGTGTGTTTATCAGGGACATCACGTTCAAGTTGTTATTACGAAACACCCCCCAAGGTTATCTCAGCCTTGTCTTTTTTAAGTTACATCAATGCTTTCGCGAATTTTTTTGTCTAACAACTTATTGAAAAGCTATGATAAATGTGAGTTCAACCGCGAAAAAAAAAATAAACAACTTTATTTACACTCTACAACATGGTATAATTAGAATCACAATTTGTCATACACTCATATAAATTAAAGACGGTAACTACGAAGGGCCCTAACTTAAGAGCTAAGCTGAAGGGGAAGGTTCACTAGCTACCATTAATCATTTATTAGGATCAGAAAAAAAAAGCGCTAATTAGGTAATGTATGCCCATATTTTCAATTGTTCGCTTGTACCTTAGTTCTACACTCAGTTAAGCACAAACTAGGGTAGTTTCTAACAAAAAGGTATTGTGATTATTTCGGGCATTATTGGCATTGTTACGGCGGAAGTTCCCCAGGGAAAGAATGTATGTTATCTGAGAGGAAGAATAAGGGCAGTCGGCAAACTTTCTCAACTGCGGTGCAGTATGTAACAGTCGGTCTGCCATTTTTAGTAAGAAACATTCTCCCCTCAGACTTCTGATCGTTTCCAGTCCCTACATTACTCGTTCCCATGCTATCGAGAAGCGTTGGTTATCGGATTGAAGCATTCGTATTAGAAAGCTTGTGTCTCGTATTACATAAGCTAAAACATAAA